ATTTACCAGCAGGGGAAAAAATATCAGAGAAAGTAATATGAATCCATTCTTATTGGTTCTTGAGGTACCTAGATAATTTGTTTCTGCCCTGGAATATTCATTTCAAGAAATCATGCAAGTGATTTTAAAATGTATTCCTCTACTACTAATTTTTGAAGAATCCACTAATGTGTTTTACCCTGCCATAAGTGCCTGTGCTTACTCATTGTATGATATGCAAATTCTGCACCTGCAGGGAATTGCTTGTACCATTTAGTACTGATGGTAGGAGGCCTGACAATTCCATAGGGTTGTTATTCAGTACTTCACATAAATTACCGCTTTCTTGAGCTCTATGAAACTACTTTTAAAAAAAGAACAAAACAGAGCAACATTTTAGGTGTGGAAAAATCATTGGAAAGGGCTCCTGAAAGAAGCAGGTGATAGGGTGAAGTTACAAGTTCCACTTAGACCAGGGGTAGGCAAAGTCCAGCCCACAGGCTGAATCAGGCCTGCAACTGACTATTTTCCAACAGCCCCTGCGGCGGCAGCTCCTTCTGGTGGTGGCCACTGGACCCAGACCTGTTGCTGGAGTTCCCCGGACAATCCACTCCGTACCCACTGCCAGGGGCAGGACCCATGCAGGCAGGGTGCATGGCCAAGATGGGGCTGTGGTTGGGAGTGAGATGGGCAGGCAGGGCCCAGGAGACCCCAGCATGTGATCTGTTGCCTGCATGCCCCTGCAATGAGTGTGGGGTCCATGGGCAGTGCCATGCAGGGAGTGGATTGTAGCTTTGCCTCAGCTCCAGCCCTGCACTGTCAATGCACAAGGTCCCAGCCCTGGCGCAGCTCCCTGCTCAGCCACATGCCCTTCCCACAGTGCACCATGGAGACCCCAGGAGCACAGGACCGTGACAGTGCAGGGCCATGACAATGCAGGGCAAGGCTCGTGCAGAGCCCTGGTTCTGTGGCCCCGTGTTGTCACAGCCCTGCTGCTCCCAGGGTCTCCATGTGAGCCATGTGGACAGGGGCTGCTGGGAAATAGAATCTGGCTGCCAGCTGGATCCACCATTTTTCCCACCCCTAACTTAGACAATACTAAGGGCACTGAAGACATGTTAAAAGCTGAATTCATGCTAAGTGCCCTGTGAGCATCTCAAAGTTATACCACCTTAGGTGAGGTTTAACTCTGGGCCATGCTGCCTAGCTTGTTATGGTAACTTCAGTCTGCTGCAGAGATGAAACAAGCAACTAGAAGTCCTCCAGCATCCCCAGATACACTGCTCCCAAGGCCCCACTCCTCCCCCTCCAACAGGACTACAGCTCAAGTGTGTTGGTTCCTAGCTATGTCCCTCAACCTTTTAGAGCTGTGCAGGCAAGAAACCGTGTTAACCCTTTACGTCCGACTGCTCACAGCATGTTCTAACTTTGATGCCATATAGCTCATAATAAATCTGTGAAATGTTAAATGTAACTTCACCCTCAGAGAGAAGTGAGGGAAGGGTGGCATTTCAATGAAAAAATGTTGTATTGGAAAGCTTGTCTCACTTTATCCCAAACAGGATGATCAACTTCTCAAAATGGAAAGGCGGGACACATACCTGCCTCCCTCCATCCCTGCCCTTCTCCCTGCCAGCAGCACAACTGGAGCAGAGCTGAACAGAGCAGGGGTAGATGTGGGCTGCCTACTGTGGGCTCTCGGCTCCCTGCCCTGGTGCCTTTCCTCTGGGAGCCCCGCGCCAGCTGCAGGCCCCCTGCCTGCCTGGCAGCAGGGGCCATAACTCCATGCCACTGCCACCCCTGCTGTTACCAGGTGGGCAGGGGGTGCCTTGCCATGGTGGCACAGCCAGTGTGGGGTTCCCAGGGGAACAGCAGCAGGGCAGGGATCCCAGAGTCTGCAGCAGGCAGCCAGCATCTGCCCCTGCCCCATGCACAAATTTGGGGAGGCATGTTCCTTGCCCCCCGCATGCCTTCTGCTCCCTAGATGAGCCAGCTGTGGCTCCACCCTGCTCCGTGCCCCAGCCCCATGGCTGGGTAGCGCCCCAAGCCCCCACTCCCTCCCTCACTGTGGGAGGCCTCAATTTGGCCCCTCCCATGCCCTTTCCCCTCCATGGACTTCCTTGCAAGGTGCTGTTCTCCATGCTGCCTGGTTGTATTCCCAGCCACCTGCATGTATACAGGAGTGCACATGCACATGGTGCGCCATGTGCAGTGGCAGATTAAAATTTATTGTGGCCCTGGGCAAACAGAAAATTGGAGGCCCCCATCAGGCAAGGGTAGGTTTCCTCTGCGCCCACCAGGGTGTTGTGGCTGGGCCTAGCCAGCCTCCTCAGCACATCTGGAGCAAGCCAGGGGGTGCAAGTGCTGTTGAGGTCAAGGCAGCCCAGCCCTGACCTGCCCTGGACGCTCCACCTAGCGGGTGTCAAGCAGCTGGGCTGGGGCTGGCTTGGAGCAAAGCGCTGGCTCTATGCAACCCCTGGCTGCCTGCCAGCCCCTCTGTTGGCCCTGGGGGGCGGGGCTGTCCCATCCTGTTCCAGTGGTGTTGGGGCTGGCTGCCACCCACAGATGGCAGAGTGGGAGCAGGAGCAGGGCTGCCCATGGGGCCCCCTGGCAACAAATGACCCTGGGACGCCACCACCACCTGCATGAAGCCCTGTGCCTACCCTCTAGCCTCTGGCTCTGGCCCAGCCACAGGGGAGGAGGCACATACTACCTCCCCCAGATGCCCGCGGCTAGGATGCTTGCATGGGCCATGCTGCTGGTGGCATCCCAGGGGGCCCTTGTTTGGCAGGGGCCCTCTGGCCCAGGCCCCATGCATTAATCCGCCCATGACCCTGTGTCCCACTCCTGGCAGCCCCTTGCAGGCTGGAATACCCAGTTTTCCACTGATCCCTGCACAATGCTGTAAATCCAGGAAAAATGCTGTTCTGGAGTCATGCAGGGACTGGGATTTGAGGTTCCCATTCCAGGACTGTCCTGCCCAATTAGGGATGGGTGGTGTCTCTAATCCCAAAGAACAAGTATCACTCCTCCAAAAATACTTCCTTTTTGTCAATAAGGAAATGAGCAGACTAATCTGAACCCAGCAACATGGGAGAAAGTGAGAGAATGAGTAAGAGATATGAAGGGAACACCAAAAGACAGGTTAGGAAGAACAGGAAAAAAGGAACAGTTGTCACATCAACTGAGCTACAGCTGTCAGAGCAGCAAAGGTGAAAGATGTGGATTTCAGGCAGCAAGAGGAGAAAACTATCAAGAGAATCTGTAATGGACAGGCGCATAGGCAGCCTGGCCTAATGGCTAGGCCACGGAGGGAAAGCAGGGCCTTGAGCTGGGTCAAAGGCCAGGAGCCATATACCTACCTAGAGGAAGAGCCATCCAGAGGCAGGGTCCACAACAGCCCAGAGCCAGGACCTGGCGGGGGTTAGATGTATGGTTGTCAACCCACCCAGACTGGCCGGGAGTCTACCAGAATTGGCATCGATCTCCCTGTGACTACTGAAAGCAATCTGGCAAACTGATATTGTGAACAGGTTCAATGGTGGAAAACAAAATCTCTTGGAATAGCTTCAGTTAGTTGGCAACCCTAGTCAGATGTCAAGTATCAATCTGGGAGGAAATCCACCAGGCAAAGTCCAAAAGCAGAGCCAAACTAGCATCAGGAAACAGAATCGCAGGAAGGTCCAGGGTCCAGCAGGCTTGCCATGGCTGAACTGGTGGCTGACCTGCAGACCCAGGGCCCCAGCTGGTACTGTGTAGAGAGGTGGTGCTTCCACAGCCAATCCACAGGCTTCCTGCTTCTAACTTGGGGCAGAGTTCATTAGCTGCTGCTGTTCTGGGTCCTGGCTGGCCTGCTTGCTCACCCTCCTTGGCAGAGCTCTGAGACCTTCCCTGGGCAGACAGGACTAGACTGAGAAGCAGCAGTGGCTGTGGACAGGGTAGGGGGACACCAGCCTGACTGGAAGCAACTGGGCAGTTCCAACTAGAAGGGAGAAAACACCCGCAGGGGAAAGAAGAGAAGAGCAGGGGAGGGGCTGTGGTACCTGTCCCGATAGCTGCCCTGCCTGCCCACTGCCCTCTATGCCCATGGCGCAACTCCCCAGCCAGCTGCATATGGGCAGCTGCGAACCTACAGAGCCGGCCGCCCGGCACTCAGAGCAGCTACCTGGGACCCAAGCCTGGGACTGGCTGCATTGGATTTCACCCAATGGCGGGGGCGGGGTAGGAGGGGCGGACCACGTGGCGGCCAAGCAGAGGCGGGCGGGGCCGCTCGCGTCTGCATGTGTCTGCGCCCGGGCGCAGCGGGGCAGAACTTGGGAAGTGCGTTCGTTTTGGCTCCCAGCAGCCGCTGTAGCCGGGAACCGGAAGTGGCGCACCGGAGCCGGCGTCGCGATGGAGTTCTCTGAGGAGACACTCAGGAAGCAGTTGAGCAAGGTGTGCGCGCCCCCCGCTCCGGCCCTGGTGGGGGAAGGGGCGCAAGATAGGAGAGAATATGGCGTGGCGCCGCACCGCACTCAGACGTCACAGCTGCGTGCCCCGCCCCACGCTTGTCTTGCTTATGCGGGGGGTCCGCTCCCCAGCCGCGCATGTGCAGAGCTGCGAGCCGGCGGCTTGGCCTTTGGGGGTGGGGGGGATTGTGACATGGCTGTGGCGGGGGCGCGTTTCTTGTTGATGAACGGAGCTTTAGGAGGATCTTCTCTAGTTCCTGCACACAACATATAAGGATCTAGCCCCTTCTGGTTGCTTCTAACATCTTTTGTTCAAGTCCAGTAGCTGCCCCTCATCAGTGGGGCTCCTCTGCGCTCCTGGCTGGGAGAGCCAGTGCTGAGACAACCTGCTCGCAAGTACCAGCTGGGCCTTCTTGCAAGGCCTGTAGGACTCAGGATGCTGGCCATGTCCACGTTGTTCGCAGTCCCTCTGCTCTCCAGCCTGGTAGAGGCTGACCCATTAGTTCACTGCTCTGTGCATGTGTGGGATCAGGGGGGCATTGCCCTCACATCCTGACCCCCTCCAGCCCTGCAAAGACCCGGAGGGGAGTTTGGTCCTATGACGTGTGTGCACAAGGAGTGGGGAGGGAGCAGCGACGCCCCAGTGTTGAGTGAAATCTAGGCTAATTTGAGGTAGATGGCCTTTGAGCTGTCTGTGTAAACCATTGTCTCAGCCTGTTCTGATGCGAATCAAAACCCTGAGATGATCAGCCCCAGATTAAACTGCTCATCTGGTTCTAGCCTCTGATCCTTCTTTATGATGCTGGATTTTGACAGCTTCCTTGTTCCTCCTGCCTGGCTTCTCTGCTCACAAGGGTGAGGCCAGACGCAACAACAGCTTTGTTTTGATGGTGGTGCCCTGTCCTCAGGCCAGCAGAAAAAGAAACAGCGATATGTGGAATTCTCTGGAAACAGCTGCTGTGTTTATCCCTTTCAGTCTCTTCAGCCCACCTTCCTCTCTCTCAGTAATGCCCCTTCTCCCCATCCTTTCCTTCCCATTTCCCTGTCCTTTGTATTCATACAACTTTCTCTTTAGTATCCCTGCTCTCTGCAAGTCCATTGGAAGTGTTTGAGGAAGTAGGCTGTAGCCTCTGGCTAAAAATAGATGGTGAGTTTATTTGAACTTAGGTCTGATTTGATTTGAATTAAAGTAAGGGGTGGAGGTGGGGGACGGTTGTTTACGCACAGTTTGAATGGCAGTTAACACAAATTAGCTAGGGTTGTCCTTGGACAAAATGTTAGTTTAGATACTTCAAAGATACTTAATACGGATCAGTGGGCTAAAAGTAGACAACCGGTTTGTTTAATCTTGTGAGAGATGACCCATCATAAGAGGGATAGGACAGTCCTTTATACTGGAGGTTTAAATGGCAGTTATCAGATTAGATGTGATTGTTCCCACACAAAGTGTTAATTCAGATACTTAATGTTTCAAATCTGATTCAAAACCAGGCTCATGGTTTATTCAAGAAGTTGTGATCCCTACCTTACTCTACGGATCTAAGGCATGGACACCATACAGGAGACACCTCCAAGTTGCCGGAGAAGTACCATCAGTGTTGCTTGCAGAAAATCAACACGTGCAATAATGTTGGCATTCTCTCAAGCAAACACCATGAGCATGGAGATGATTAATCATCCAAAATCAACTTTGCTCACCTGGTCACATCATCTAGATGTCTGACTCCAAATTCCCAAAGCAAGTTTTATTCTTCTAGCTCAGTAAAGGCACAAGCTAAAGATGAGGGCAGAAAAAGTGCTTCAGAGATGTCCTCACGGCCAACTTGGAAAAAATGCAACCTTGACACCAGCTGGTGGAGATTACTGCCCCAAATGGAAGAAGAGCCTTCTGCAAGGATCTCAGTACTTTGAAACTTCATGGCAACAAGAAACAGAAAAGTGGGAGGCATAGAAACAGCATGTCACGGACTGAATCAAGAATCCAGAGCCACCCACCCTAAACAGAAAGATGCACCCGAGTTGCAACAGAGTCTGTTGATTCTAGACTGGCTTCATTAGTTTTCTTTGGACCCACAAATAAGATGATTGTGGAGGACAATCATGCCTAACTGTGAGGGATTGCTGATGATGAGATACTCAATGTGGGACAGTGGGCTTGTCCCCCTGTAAGATTAGGGGTTTGCTAAGAGAGAAGCTCTAATCAAATTCAAACTGGTCATCTATTTTTAGCCAGTAGGATTCCAAGATGAAATGTATTGTCCTTGGAGAAACTCAGTATGTGGTTTTTCGTGTCTTTGAAATCTCTGTGCTTCTGAGGATCGTCTTTAAGACTTAAAGCAGATGTTGGATTTCTCCCAAGACAAAACTTTTTATCCTGGAATTCTACAGAGGGACAAGCTCATTGGCCATGTTAAGTACCAGTGTATTATCTGAGTTAACACTTTGACCAGGGATGGTCCAGCTAACTTTAATTAATTGCCATTCAAGCTATATGCCTAAAACACAGTCCCTATGTGCTGTTTGGAGCCAAAGACAGGCTAGAAAGGGACTGCAGGTTAATACTGGGGCTAAAATACCACCCCATCTTGCCTTCTGGCCTTATTTCAGACTAAAATGTCTAACTACCTCTCTTGCCTAGAATTGACACTAAACAGTGGTCTAGTTAGCAGTCTCAGCACTGAGATTGAGGACTGAACCACACTCTCTACTTTCGCAGCATAGTTGTCAATTCCTTGATCTAGCAAGCTGTTAAATGTTTAGGTTGGTGTTTCAAGGCACATTGACATCCCATGATCTAGAGCAAAATGCCCAAATCTGAGAAGTGTGTACTTTAATGAGCAACATAAACTTAAATTCATGAGGTTAAGGAGTCTAGAGAGCTGGCTATAGAGTGAGAGCCCATATGCAGTAGCAGTACTTGTTTTTTTGCAAAGGCGTTATATTTCCCTAATAACCACATCAATGCTACATTTCAAACCACAGCACTTCTTGGTGTAAATCTCTCCGTGTGTCACTAGGCTTTTTTTTTTTTTTAAGAGGGAAGTGTTTGTGGCTTTCTACCTTCACAAATCTAAACCACAGAACAGATTTTGCTTGGACTTTGCAAAACAGTTTTCTGTGGGCGTGGAACACTTCTCCAGTAAGTAACTTTTTTCCCAGAGGCTTAATATTTCATCTGTCAGTGAAAAAGTCATTCTAAAAAAACCTTTTTTTTTTAATATGTAAAAGCTGTAATAGGGTTTTTCTGGAAACGAACTGTATAACTAATGTGGCTCCTACTTTTTTTAAATAGGGTATTTTTAAATTAGATGTGACTCTGTATGCAGATAAGGCCATATTTCACAAAAGCTCAACTTCAATTGAAGTCAGAAAAGAGCTATGTAGCGATGAAAGATCAGAATTGGACTCCTAATTGTAGCTGTGGAAGATTTACTATATCGTTTAAAGCCTTTTTGGTTGTCATAGCAAAACGAGATGCATGATAGATATAATGAAGATGCTTCATGCCATGAAATACCCCCATTAGAACTAAGTAAATAGCAAAATTGTCATCTTATTATATTGTCCCTCTTTGCCCTCCTGACCCTCTCCCACTTCTTTTCCTATCTCTTGCAAAGAGAAAGGGGAGAGTTCTTTGAAATTAAAGTTTATTCTCCATTTTGTTTCCAGTATAAATTCAGAGACCTGACTATAGAAGAACTGAAGAATGTAAATAAGATCTACCCAAACTTTCTGTTTTCCATGGACACCTATAGTAAGACTCTGATCTAGTTACTTTGATTATATTGCATAGCTCTAGAGAAACAGATGGGATGGAGCTGTTATTTTCCATAGATTCAACAGTAGATTAAAAAAACACTGTCATTTATTTTTTTGTCTTCTAATTCTTTTGATTTTTTTCATTATACTTTATATGATCTGTTGACTTTTGTCATGCTATATTGATTATAAATTAGCTTAACCAAAATGAGTAGCTTTTAAATAAAAAAAGGACCCAGAAGTAATATATAATCACTGCTGTGTGACCAAGGTTTTAAATACTGTGCATATCATGTCTCTGGACTGTAGAATCATAGAATCATAGAAGTAGGGTGGGAAGGGACCTTGTAGATCTTCAAGTCCGACCCCCCACCTGGGCAGGAGGGGAAAAAAAAATAAACCATGTTTATTTTGATATATTTATTCTTGTCCAATATAACTTCCAGAATCCCCCAGCTGGAAGAAAAGTCCAAGGGACAATAGTGTTGTATAGGAAGAGCAAAGGCCCTTACAAAAGGGCTTTTTCAAGTTGTTAATGCACTGCAACTAGGCTCAATAATAGAGAAGGTCAGCAAGAGTCATTAAACTTCTTAGCAGAGAGGGCAATTGCAAAGATTGGAGGTCAAAGTGTGTGGGGAAGGGCTAAAAAAATAAGTAGTCACACTCTCTTCAAAAAATGGAGGGGAAAATAAAGCCACAAGGCACAGACATAAGTTACATTTGTTGCACACTTGGCCACTTTAAAGCAGTCTACAGCCATGGCCTGACAGAAGTGCATGGCTGCAGAGAGCTTTAGAAGTCCCCAATCATGTGACAAATTAACCCTTGTTATATGGGGGTTCAGATGAAGATGCTCCAAGTGGAGTAATTTCATTAACTTCTGTCTGCTCAGGCAGGCTGGACTGATGCAGCACAGCCCCATGCTCCATGCTGTCTGCACAGTGGGAGGGAGGCGAGGAAGTCTGGGCTGGGGTTTGCCCAGCGTGTGCTGGAGGGTGATGGGTTTATTAGAGTAGGCTGGGCAAACCTCAAATGGAGCTCAAAGAAGGCATTTCCTTGATTCACTAAAAATGATTTCCTTTTCAGCTTTCAAAGATGGATCCCAAAAAGACCTCCTGAATTTTAGTGGCACTGTTCCAATAACTTACCATGGTAAGTTAGTGTGTATATTTTTCTGCCAATTTGAAAGCCAGTTGTAAGGCATCTTGTGTACATTTAATACTATTGCTTGTGACCAAGTCATGGGATATCTTGCGAAACTATATTGATTAGTGTGGTCAGTATGGCAGGGTTTCTTTTACTAAACCCAGGGTTCTGGTTAGATTTGCAGCACTAAAAGAGTTTGCTTAGGCTCTGTCTCTGTCAGGGTTGCCAACCCAAGACAATTTTTTACTGATAATTTGCAAACTTTACTGGCACCCAGACTTTTTTTTTTTTTACTGACATGTTTTACATGATGTAAATGTAACCCTTCTGTCAGGCCCTGAACAACAGCTGGGCTCAGATTTCAGGATTTAACACCAACCATAGTGGAAAAGTTTAACTGATAGTTAGTCAAAAGTTTGCAGATTGTTTTTTTTTTTTTGTTTTTTTACTGATAGTTTGGCAAACCTGACAGAGAGAGATCTGAAGCGAACTTTCTTCTAGTGCTGAAATTTATACTATACTGTCCTCACCCCAGCTGTCCCTTACTCGGTTGACAACCCTGCTCTCTGTGTCCTGGACAGTGTTTGGAAAATGCACTCGGAAAAGTGGTGGCAGCGGCCAAGTCAGAATGCAAGCCTGTCTCGGACTGTAACTTTGAAACATTTCTGGCTGCTCGTCTAGAGTCAAGTTTCATTGCAGCTCTGATCCTGGCGGGCTTCCTTCTAGGCCTCCTGGAGCCCTCTTAGGTCCTCTCTCCTGCCTTCTCCCTCCTTCTCTGCTTATCAGTCTGTTTGCTATTGTTCACCCACCTTTTCTCCTATATTAGCATATCTGTGGCACCATGCTTCATCAGGGCTCACATTAGCATCATGGCTGTTCCTCTATGATTGCTTGTCTCTCAAATCACAGATCCCTGGCATTGTCCTGCTTGTACCTGACATAAAACATCCCATTACCTGTTGTAAAATGTTTACATGTCATAATACTCAGGAGCAGTACCAGTATATAGAAAAAGTAAAATGTATGAATTAACTCACTTTTGATACATGTTTTTGTACACTTAATTCTTGGAGTTCAGTTGTGCCTATAGTCTTTTTAAATAAAAATGGTTAAAGTGGATTTTTCATAAATCAACTGAAATTATTTTAATTCCATATGCTCAGTATAGTATACTTTAATTCCATACTTCTTGCAATGAAGCAACTAGCCACCCATGAAGAAACTAGTGTAGTTAGATACCAGACTATGATAGATAAAACTTTTGGGTCAGGATGTGGGGACATTTGGATAAATTCTTGAAACCTGGTGCTTGAATATGTAGCATCTGAAAAGAACTAAGATTTGCTTTTCCTAGACTTGCAGCCTTTGAAACCTACGGGTTATGATGCAATGGATTCTCCTTGTCATTAGCTTTATTGTCCCCAAAAAGTAAGAAGTTGAGTGCTTTTGAGAAGTTCCCTCAATTAGAAAGGCAGAGCTGTTTGAACATTTGTTTTTTGCTTTACCAGCAGGCAGGATTTCAATCAATAGTACTTGCTATAAGCATTCTTGATAGCAATAAGCTTTAACTGAATATGATAGAAAAATATTGATAGGTGAAAAAGTGCAAAGTATAACATACCAGACACATTTCAGCTTCTATGCAAAGTACAGAAGTTCTCATGAATTGTATTTTGTATCTAACAGGTCATTCTTATAACATACCAGTTCGTTTATGGATCTTGGATTCTCACCCTTTTGCACCACCCATTTGTTTCTTAAAGCCAACTGTAAACATGGGAATTTCTGTGGGAAAACATGTTGATGCACATGGCAGGATATATTTGCCCTACTTACAAAACTGGAGCCACGTAAGGAGAAAAAAAATGTCGGGGAAGAAAGCATGGTATTGCATGAGAATCAAAGGGCAGGGTTTTTTTTTTCCCTTTCTCCTCCACTGTATATTAATCTTATGTAAAGTGGTTATATAGGAAGAAGCAGAAAGTTGCTTTCTTCCCAGCTATAACCTTCAGCCAATCAAATATTATTACAAGACAAATAGTTTAAAAGGCATTCTATTAAAAGAATAAACTAAGTAACGCTCTCATATTTTTCTTTGTTGCTATCTATGTACAATAACAGTCTAAGCTGAGGCTGACTTTCTGCTAAATGACCATAAGTGTTGGGGAGTGGGGGGGCCCTATCTCTTTGCGGATGGCATTGCAAAATGGAGACCACATTAGGGATGCTGAATAGAAAGATCTGAAAATAACTAATTTGTAGTTGCCAAATTTTTTTTTTTTACATACTCAATTCTGTAAGTTACTTTAAAACATGGGCTGTTAAGAAAGCAAACTTCATTTAAAAGACTGTTGTTTAGCTAGTTTCTGAAACGGGTCAAGCAGTTTTTACCCTTAATGTAAGTAGGCTTTTGAGAATTTGTACCTGGTAACTAAAGTTTTTATGCCTTGTCCTTATTTAGCTAAACATTTTCTTGCTTTTACCGAGACAGGACTGCAGGATTGGGGTCTTGGGCAGCTAGTTTGTATCTTTTTAGATAAATACTGCTCTCTGTCTAGCTGTGAATTACCTAGTATGGTAGAAGCTGGATATGAGCACACCCCTTGGGAGCATGGTCATATGTGCTTACATCAGAAGTTTAATTTAATCTTCCCTTCGCTAATATAGTAACAATGGCAGATGAGACATGAGCCGTATACTGCACAGTTCAGCTTAATTTTTACTTTTTATCTACCAAGTAACATGCATAGTAATTATGTATACAGTATTGGCTGCTTCTTAGAATCGCATTTTTTGATGCTGATAAGCACTTCTGGTAAGCGCCCACACAGAGCTCATTTTCCTGTGCTGTTGCATATAGCACAGTGTTCCTATACCACAGACAGTCATTTTTACTGTATATGTGATAGAATATCAAAAAGTTGGTTGTGCCAAGAACAGAAATCCTGTGAGTTTACTTTTATAAATTTCTGCTACATCCTGAGAGATCACAACATGTGACCAAAAGTTTGCTGAGCAGACAGATTGAACCAGAGATGTTTTTGACAAGATACAAGCCACATAAGACTAGTGTAGATTGTGAACACTGCCTTTAATGTGCTAATTGCAACCAATTTAGGACTAACATGGCATATCCTGTAAGCATCTTTAAATCTAAACCGGGTGTATTACATCAGGTGCTCCAAGCTGGAAAAAAAACAGTTTTGTGAAGATGTATTCCTTGTATCTGAACTGTGCTTATATGCGGCTTCTACTGTATGCTACTGTGTCATGGGCTTTCAACATACCCAGTGACACTCAGAACAACTAATTGAATTGGTGTTTACATATCTTTTATTCAATCTCTAGATTCCTCATCTTTCTAATCCATACCCTTCCATGTTTCACACTTAAAATATATAAACAAATTAAACATTACTTTAATGGACAGCACTACTTTTCTTCAATATGTTAAATGTTGGTGTCAGTATCAAAGTTAATATTTTACTATTTTTGTACAGTGAGTCTTGATATCAGTATAAGTTTGTGCAATTTCAGGGTCTTGTATTACAATTTTTGCTAGGTATTCAATAAAGTAACTTTTTAATATGCATGTTTGTATGCATTTCAGCCAAAGTCAACTGTCATTGGGTTAATCAAGGAAATGACTGCCAAATTTGATGAAGAGCTCCCTCTGTATTCAGTGTCATCATCTGATGCGGCCAGGCAGCTGGAACTGTTGTCTTTTATTGCCAAGTTCAGTGAAGGTGTGTACTTCAGCCACAAATCTGAATGCTCTTCTGGTCTGAATCGATATCTACTTTATCTGTTTAGCTACAGTTTTTGTGCATCCTTTTAAGATGGCTAATTTATGGCAAACTTCTAAATTAGCAATTTTATATTTTTTCTTTTATCTTGTATACCCCCTTTCTGAAGGCAGAAATGAGTAGTTCCTCTCTAAACTTTGTAATATGGTCACCCTGTGCATTTACTGTTTTTTTTCCAAAATGAAATGTAATACCTCTTTAGCTGTAGTGAGAAGCAATGTAACATCACCAATATGGGAGGAACAGCTTGTGATGGTCACAATTCAGTCAGTCTTGCATGTAATTTAAAACAGTCTCTTAATTTTTTGTAAAAACTATATGCAGGACTGCATGAATTGGCAGCAAGAAATTATTATTATTTGTGTTATATTTTCCAGATGCGGCAGCTGAGTTTGGACTCTGTTATCTTATGTATTACACAAACACCTAGTAGAAGATATTCCTTGTCCCAAAGAACTTCCAGTTGCGTTGATGGACAAAGGGGAGAAGGAATATAGAAAAACAGAATTTAAGTAACTAGCCCCAGGCCATGCAGGACATTTAGTAAAGCTGAGTATCAAAGTGAGGGGGCAGATCCTTAGTAGATATACATTGTCCTAGCTCCATTGGTTTTCATGGAGTAAGAATTCTTTATATTAGCTAAAAATTTGCACCTTCAAACTTGCATCTTTTTCTTGGATTTAAATTGTTTTTCCAAGATACAGTTTTGTGGAGGAATGTTTGTGTCTTACCCCATGAAATGAAAAATCGCAGTATCATTAATCAGTACTGACGGGTATATTACAAAAGTCAGAGTAATTTGGCTTTATAGTACATATATCAGCATTGTGTTATAACACGAATTATGACCTGTGTTTCTGGCTTTTGTTTTTAATTATAGGTGAAACTGATATGAAATCAAAGAGTCAAGTGGAGAAAGAGAAGAAAAATGAAACTTGTAACAAAATTACGGTTATTGGAGGAGGAGATCTTGGTATCGCTTGTGTACTAGCAATTGCAGCAAAGGTATGCGATAACTCCTTAATGTTGTTAGTTAATATTCTTGTGATGGTTTCCAAGTTAGCTGTTGGTCCCAGATATATAAAGATAGTGACTATACGTATTTATATGCATGATGTAGCTCTTCTGTTTTACATTTTTTCCCCACTTAAATACTTCGGGGAAAAATGCTGTTTAAATGAAGTCTTTGTAAGTCACTGTTATCTGATAGTCAGCTGTTGGAAAACGTTAAAGATTAATCTTAGCCCCTTCAAATCAATATAAATTTTAAAGGCATTATAGGGATTGTAAGTTCCCCAGTAGGCTGTGTTCAGATGAGTGCAGCTGTGTGGTATGTGGCACCACAGACCCACCTGCGGTGCCACACACCACACATTCAGGCGTTTCCTGCACTGGTACTTTGCAGCACGGGGTTTTTTTGACCCCAGGAGATTCCGGGGTTAATAAAACCCACACAGAAGAAAAGCGGGGTGGCACAAATGGCTGCAGAATGTGTTGCCCAAACCCGGAGCCTGGCCTGCCTGAGCTATGCTCCGGCTGCTGGCCAGGCTCCAAGCTGCAGGAGCACCGTGACTGCAGCTTCCCCACCCCAAAGATGTCAGGTAAAGCTGTTGAGGCCAGCACAGTTGCTGGACCCAGCCTCCCCTACCCCATCTGGGGTTACCTGCTGTGTGTTAGAGGGTGTGTGGCACAGGTGTTCCCCGGGACAAGAAGCAGCAGCAGACCTTGTGCCACTGGTACTTGTCCCCAGGGAACCAAATGTCTGCGCTCATCTGGATGTGGCCATAGAGGGTATTTTTCAAAGTTTTTACTAGTTTAACAAAATAGCCAGGTTGAATGGCTCCCTTCATGGATATGTGGGTGGTTGTATTTTAATATATTATTTGGCAATGAAACTAGCATTATAACTGATTAGTTTGTTCTCTTAACCTCACAGTCACCAATGATTTGGATCAGGTCAGGGATTTGTGTTTGTGTATAACTGGCACTATTCTAGAAATTCCATTGAATTTTAGAAGTTTCATTTTTCAAAGGAAGTCATGCTTCATTTTGTTTTTTTTTCTTTACAGGGTGCTGCAGACCAGGTGGTTCTTTTAGATCCCTCTGAAGGTGCAGCAAAAGGAGGAATCATGGACCTGGATATCTTTGATCTACCAAATGTAGAGATTAGCAAAGGTGCTTAGTTTTAATGCTTTAATGAAACCTGTTGCTGTATCTTCTGTTTTACTGTTTAGGATACTTAGGACATTTAGGAGGTATCACCTCTAGGTTACCAGATACCTCTGGGTCAGTGAGTGCCTATTATTTGTTGATAGTTTCTCTTGTCTTGAATGTGAGTCTGCACAGCAAGATGGTAGCGTGGTGGTAAGAGTTATTCTGGGAAGCTGGCACTCCTAAATCATCCTTTTTCCTGCTCCCAGTGTAGAGGTTTTAAATCTTTTGTGTTGACCTTCTGATCATATTACATACACTTAACAGATTTGTAAGATTTTTATTTTATTTTATATTTTAGTGGCTGTCTAGATTTGGGTACTGTGTTGGTGTCCTTGTTTTGAATGGGACATAAAGGAACAGAAGCCCCCAGGTGCAGGACAGAAATGTGTGAAATATCTTGGACAAGATTCTAGGATACACAGGATTCAGATAGTATAGTGATGTTTCCAGATAAAGAAAGTTTCCCTTTTTATCCCAATTCAAATTTATCTTAAGGGATCAAGAATATGTAGTGGGTTGATCATTTAAAATTTCTTTGGGCCAAGTATGTTTTCCATCCATCACTTGATGTTTCTAGGATTTGATTATTTTTTTAATTTAACCTCAGTTTCTTTCTATTTTGTCAGATTTTTCTGCATCTGCTGATTCCAAAGTGGTGGTGTTTACAGTTAATTATCTGGGTAATGCTCAGTCATATCTTGATGTCATACAAAGCAATGTGGATCTGTTCAGAGGAATTGTCCCTGCCATAACATACCATAGTCAAAATAGTGTGCTGCTTGTTGCATCTCATCCAGGTACTTTAGTATTTCTATTTTTTTTGATTTGCTTGTCCCTGGATTTAGTTTGTTTGCAGTTTGTTTAAAGACTGCTTCATTGATCAGAAATCCTGGCTCTGAGCCTGGTACTCTTGAGTTCTTAACAGGAGATGGTAAAAAGAACAAACAAAAAACCAAAGCTAAACACTGGTATAACTTGCTTGAATCTATTGTTGAGTTAACCAGGAATAAAATCTGGAATAAAACAGTTGTGGTATAGATCAGGGGTGGCCAACCTGGGACATGAGTGCCACAAGTGGCATGGGCAGCCTTTGTGTGTGGTATGCAACCAAACAGGGAGGGGACAGGCAGCACAGTAGCAGGGGGCAGAAAGCAGAGCAGCTGTTGAGGCAGGGGGCACAAAGCAAGGAGTGAAAGGAGGAGCAGACTGGTCTGAGGGAGGGGATTGACATATCACTCAGGGAGTATATAAAGCTAATTTGTGGCATGCCTGCTAACAAAGTTGGGCTCTACCAGCATAAGGTGGTGTCTGTTTCCATCTAGTCCAGCCTTTTGCTCCATACAAGTGGGCCTTTCCCTGCTTCCTAGCTATCCGGGGTGGGAACAGATGTCATCTTTGTTATGGCAGCACAAAGTGAAAGCAAATAGACATCCGTACCTTCTGCTATGCCACAAATGCTCAAATTTGTGGTCGCGATAGAACATAGTGTTAGATTGTACTACTTTACTGTGGTTTTACTGCTACTTCACTGTCTGTTTGCTATGGTGGATGAACTTAACCAGAGTGAAGCTGCCTGAGCTCCTTCTCCCCCTCCCCCGCCTTGTGCAGCTCAGTCCCAGCTATGCTGCCCTTGCCCCACTCTCTCCCCCACCACTGGGGCTTTGATGTGCCAGCCAGACCCCACAACAGACTTACCAACCGGACCCAGCTGCTCTGCCCGTGGCCGGGCTATGCTCCTTGATGCCTGTGTGCTGTACTGTGGCTGCACACAGGCACGTGGCATTTATCTGCCACATCCATTCTGTGTACCCCCTACGACCGTTTTAAATACCCCTAGGGGTATATGTACCTCCAGTTAACATCCACAGTTCTAAAAGATCAGTTAATTATGAATTAATTTAATAGTTTGTCCTGATTAATGGGAGAGGGGTCAATCATCACTGAATTCCATAGTCTCTCTTAATTCATGAAAGAGTAGTCAATTTTCTGGTAATTCTACAGTTGTTGTTTTTGTTTTTGTTTTTTTAAATCCCTAGAATAGTAGTTAATTGCTAATGGATCTCACAGGCTCCCTAATCATTAATGGATCCCACTGGCTCCCTTGACACAGAAGATCAGTTAATTCCACCCCAATCCTATCAGTCTCTATTTTATACAGATTCCATTAATTTTCCTTGTGTTGCTCATCAATGTGTGAGGCTCCATTCCACACTGTCAGCACTTTATCAACAGTCTGCAATCACACACTTAACTCATTACCCTCATGGAAACCTCATTGTCCTTTTTGGTGGTCAAGTTCCTCTTCACTCACTCCATATCCATCGCTAGTCTGCTGCTGAGCTTGGCTTACTGGACCACTCCACCAGGTCCCCAGGGTGGTGCTGAGGGAGTCTGGCTCTGCATTTCCATGAGTTTTACACAGCATTCTCAGCTGGCTGTGTGTTACCTTCTCTGGGTTTCTGACTGTGCTGGCTCCTTTCTAGTTTGCTGGAGCTCCCGCGGACCAACGAGGGCTTGCTCCCTCTGCACGTGACCATGTTTGGCCAGGGTTTGGCTCTTTCACCCTGGACCACACATGGACCTCTCTGGTGGCCATTCAACCCCACCAGATTCTTCATGGTAAGCTGGTTCCCTGACCCCATCCTAACAGCATTCCTTAGCCATAACAGGGACCAGAGCTGTTACACATACACTAAAACTAATAAAGTGATTTGAAATGCTCCCCTTGTTGCTGTTCAGTAGAACAAAGGGTGGAGAGAAGAAACTTGCAAATTAAGAGGAGTAAACTTTTTTTGAGGCAATATTGTTTGATGGGAGGATGAGGATGAGTCCTTTCCCAGCTAAAGAAGTAGATAACAATTTCATTAAAAACCCTGTTTTAGATGCGTTTTACAATTTTAACTTATTTGGGTCTCTCTTACTTTACTCAAGCTGTGACATGTTATCTTAAAAGCTTGACTTGGTGTTTTAGGGACAAGTAAACTTGATGTTGTCATGTAGGCTAATACTTTAAAAGTGAATAGCTGGCTCCTGATTTTGTTTCTTGAAGACACATTCTAGCCTGCTTTGTGTTGAACTTTTGGAAGTGATTGTATGTTATCAACATATTTTTCTCTCTTGTTTAGTGGAAATAATGACCTATGTATCATGGAAGCTGAGTGCATTTCCCAAAAGCAGAGTTGTTGGAATTGGCTGCAACCTGGACACTGAGAGGTTCCAGTATGTCATCGCAAACCTGTTGAAAGCTCAGACTGTAGGAAAAGAGGCTTGGATTATTGGTGAACAAGGGGAAGGCAAAGGTAAAAGGATAGGTTTTTATGATTTAGATTGGGGCTATCCAGCTGACGGTTTGTGGACCACACTTCAGCTTCTATTTATTTTTCTTCTTTTTTAACTTATTATGTTAAAGGTATTGAAGAAGCAGTCTTTCTGGGAAGAGAAATCAACATTGTAGAATATATAGTGGACTGCTGCTAATTTTGGAGTACTTTAAGTGCCAGATTTTAAGAGGTGCTGAACTCCCAGTTCACATAGATGCTAACAACAGCTGTCTGTTCCACAGCTCTGCATGTTAGGTCTTGATTGATTTGCCAAAGTACATAGCAGAGCAAGAATGGCACCCCAGGGGTTTGGGATTGTGAGGGCTTCTTGCAAAACTGGAAGCAGTGAGTCGTTATGTAGGAAAGAACTATTGAGGACCAAGTGAGTTGATTCTAAAGGCAGTAAAGCTGCAAGTTGATTTCTGACTACTTGTAGTGACAAGGAAGTAGGACAACAAAAGTGACAGAAGAGATGTGTAGCAGGCTTGCTTAAATGGCTGCTTCGCATGGAAACAGCAGCCTTTGTTCCATTGATGGTTGAGCATCTATTGATGTATTACATAGATAATAGATTCATAGACATTAGAGCTGGAAAGGACCTTGAAAGATTGAGTCCAGCCTCCTGCCCCAGGGGCAGGAAGTCAGCAGAGATCATAGGATCCCAGCAAGATAAACATCCAGTTGTCTCTTGAAGGTGTTCAAAGTAGGTGCTTGAACCACCTCCGATGGCAGGCTGTTCCAAACCTTGGGGGGGCTTGGATAGTAAAGAAGTTCTTCCTTATGTCCAGCCTGAAATGGTCATGGAAGAGTTTGTGACCGTTCAACCTTGTCATTCCTTGGGGTGCTCTGGTGAACCAACATTCCCCCAGATCCTGGTGAATGCCCTGATAAACTTATAGGCGGCCACCAGGTCCCCCCGAGCCTGTGCTTTTCCAGGCTGAAGAGTCCCATGGCTCTCAGCCTCTCATCATAAGGTCTGTTTTCCTGACCTCTGATCATGAGCATGGCTCTTCTCTGGACTCTCTCAAGCTTCTCCACATTCTTTTTTAATTGTGGGGCCCAAAACCGGACACAGTACTCCAGCTGCAGCCTCACCAAGGCCAAGTACAACAGGAGAATAACATCCTGGGATTTGCTTGAGAAGCATCTATGGATGCTTTACTAGCTGCAACATTGCATTGGTAGCTCATGTTCATCTTGTGGTCGATGACGACCCCCAAGCCTCTTTCTTCCATAGTGCTAGCCAGCATAGCACTGCTGAGCCTATAAGCATGCTGCAGATATTTCCTCCCAAGGTGGAGAACCTTGCATTTTTCGGTGTTAAACACCGTCAGGTTCTCATCCACCCATTTCCTGAGCTTGTCAAGGTCTTGCCTGGATCACCCTCCTGTCCTCAGGTGTGGATGCTTTACCCCAGAGTTTGGTGTCATTGGCGAACTTGGCCAGTCCGCTTCTGACACCAATGTCTACATCATTAATGAAGATGTTAAATAGTATGGACCCTAGGACAGAGCCTTGAGGGACCCCACTGGTCACAGGGCACTACGACGATTGACTTCCATCAACCACCACCCTTTGGGTCTGACCACAGAGCCAGTTCCCCAGCCAGCAGATTGTGGTGTGGCCAAGGCTGCTGTTAGCTGGTTTTGCCAAGTGGTGGTCATGGGATACTAGATCAAAGGCTTTTTCGAAGTCAAGATATATGACATCAATCTCTTCCCCCTTGTCCAGGTGATAGGTCACCTGGCTGTAAAAGGAAATGAGATTGGTCAAGCAAGACCTACCCGCAACAAACCCATGCTGACTATCCCTCAGGATGTTGCCGTCAGCCAGTCTGTTGAGAATGGCCTCTTTGGTAATCTTTTCTAGGATCTTCCCAGGGATAGAGGTCAGCCTGATGGGTCTGTAGTTTGCCGGATCCACCTTCCTCCCTTTATTGAAGATAGGTACCACGTTGGCCTTCTTCCAGTCTTTGGGCACTTTACCAGAGCACCGAGAGTTCTCAGAGATCCGTGTCAGGGGCTGAGCTATGATCCTCGCCAGCTCCTTGAGTACCCTGGGGTGTAGATTGTCAGGGCCAGCTGACTTGAAGGTATCCAGCCTCTCAAGATGCTCCTTCACGAGGTCAACATTGATGGAGGGTAAGGAATCTCCCTTACCCAGGCCTCCCTGTCCCATAGTGGGCAGGGGCATCCCATGCGACTGGTGAAAAACTGATGCAAAATACCCATTTAGCAAGTTTGCTTTTTTCTGGGTGTTGGTTGTCAGTTGTCCCATCTGGTTTAACAGGGGTCCAATATTGCCCTTGCTTTTCCTCTGGCTCCCCACATATCTAAAAAAAAGGACTTTTTATTGTCCTTGATATTTGTAGCTAGGTGGAGTTCTGTCACAGCTTTGGCTTGCCTGGTTCGCTCCCTGCAGGTCCGGACCAGTGCAGAGTATTCCTCCTTGGTGGTGATTCCGGTACTCCATCGTTTGTAGGTCTTCCTTTTTAAGACGCAGGAGGTCCGCCAGTTCCCTGGAGAGCCAAGGGGCTGCCGTGCCCTTTTTCTGCCTTTCCTCTGAGACAGGATGGACTTTGCTTCAGCACCCAGGATTGCTCCCTTGAGAAGCAACCACTTGTCCTGAACTCCCCTTCCCTTTAGGTTGTCACCCTTTAGTGCCTAGCTGACAAAGCCTCCTTAGGTTGTCAAAGTCAGCTTTCCTGAAGTCAAGGACTTCTGTATTGCTGACTGACTTGCCAGCGTTTCGGTGGATGGTGAAGGTGATCAGCTCGTGGTCACTGTCACCCAGCTTCCCTTTGATCATTAGGTCCTCCCCGGTTGCCAGTACCAGGTTGAGCAGCGCTTTACCTCTCATCGACCCATAGACTTCCTGTGTCAGAGCTCATCCACGCATGAGAGAAAGTTTTGTGACCGCTCGGATTTGGCCGAGTGCTGTTCCCACACAATGTCTGGGTAGTTGAAGTCTCCCATGATAACTATGCACAGGGAGTGTGCAGCCTCAGCCGGTTCCCTGGTGAACTCCTGGTCAAGGTCTTGATCCTGGGTAGGGGGTCTGTAATAGACTCCCACTATTGTGTCCCCCGTGCTGTGTTACCCACAGATTTTAACCCAGAGGGTCTCCAGTCCACCCTGGGTGCCAATGTCAGCTTGCAGGGACGCATAGCTTTCCTTTTCATGGAGAGCTACACCCCCGCCCATTTTGTCCACTTGATCTCTCCTGTACAGGGTATAGGCGTCTGTACCCAGTCATGGGTGGAGTCCCACCAGGTCTCTGTTATCCCTATGACATCATAATTATTTGTATTAAGCAGGAGGACAAGTTGGGGGGGGTTATTCCCCAAGCTCCTGGCATTTGTGTATAGGCACGCAAGTGTCCCTTTGGGGCCCTTTGCCTTCCCTAGAGTTTGTTCCAGGGCTTGGGCAGGGGTGGGCTCCCTTAAGTGCCTTGGCCTGCTGGCTTTGCAAGGATTGCTCAGTGGGCCAACAGTGGCAGTAGTTCCCCATCCCCCGGCAGGCTTAGTTTAAAGTCTGGTGGAGTAGGTCAGCCTGTCTGGCTGAGAAGAGCCTCCTTCCCAGCAGAGAGAGGTGGAGGCTGTCTCTTCCCAGCAGCAAACTGCCTCTCTCACCAAAGAGTGGACTGTGGTCATGGATGCCAAAGCCTTCCCGATGACACCAGTGCCACAGTCTCTGGTTCGCTACCTCGATCCTCCTCTCTCCTCAGCCCGTAGCCCGAGATGGAAGGATCGATAAGAACACTACCTGCACCGAACCCCTGTTTTCTTGTTAAGTGTCCTTTTTTAAAAGTGTTTTCTTAGCTAGAAAGCTACAGTGTAAGGAGGGTATACTTGCACCTTGTGTCTGCATTTTCTTTCTCCTCTCCAAAAGTTGCTCCCACAGGAGAGAAACAAGGTGGTTAGCCCACATTAGTGTGAAGTCAGGAAGAATGTAGGCTGGGATGGCACTTTAGACATGCCTCTGAACTAGTTAGTGAGCCTTCATAGGTAACAGCCTACTTCATCAGACACTATGAATAGATTTGCAGAATGACCTACTTTTAAAAACCAACTTGAACATGATATTGCTGAACAGGAAATTGTACGCAGACTGAATTGTAAGATGTCATTGTGTTAGTCTCTAAGGTGACACCTTGCCCTGCCTTCTGCTAGACTGAATTGTGTTAAACATGGTCTCACTAGAGACTGTGGATTCTTATCCCATTACCTGGGCCAGTTATTAACTCCAGCTGTTAACCCCTATGTCCCTCAGTGTGTTGCCTGCATTGTTTATCTCTACTGACATTTTGTCCCTCTGAGCAGTGCTCCTTTTCCTTGTATTTAAATATCTCTCTGCTGAGGGCACTTTCTTCCTGCAAGTCCATTCATAGTATATGACTGTGCTTGGCAACATATTTTCTGGCAAGGGGCCAGAATGACTCAGTTCTGGTCTGAGGGGGATGGGGACTAGGACCCTGCTGTCTCTGTCAATTCTTTTCCCTGCCACCCACTTACAAACAGCCTAGGGAGAGCCTCAGGCACCCACCTGCAGCGCAGCAGAGCCCCCTGCTGCCGAATTCTGTTGAAGCCACTGCTCTGGGTCCAATGGCTGCCAAATACAAAACTGACTTCCTTTGCATCCCAACCAGTCTCTAGCTGTAATCTCCACATGTGCATACACATACACTTTTAGTTTGGACAATAAGCTACTTGCTACCACATTCCTTGGTGTATTTCTATAAAGATTCCAAGCCAGTTCTGCAGTGGGGCTTAAGGAGTTGCTGTGAACTTTAGAAAGGTAGCAACTAAGTTCAGGGCATTAAAACACGCACTATAGAAAACAAAATTTAAAATGTGTTCATCAGTGTTATATATTGAGATAAAACATTCTTTTCTGTTTATTTTACCTAGTGCCTGCATGGACCGGTTCTAATTCAGCAACATGTCAAACTGCAGCAAAATGGCATCATAATTCAAGGGAACAGTTAGCAAACAGGTAACATGGCTACAATAGTAAATTTACATTTACATTAAGTATGCTTCTTGTCTGTAGAGCACTGAATCCCTGAATAATCTGACTTATTTTTACTCGTAGGAGCAAATTTGCTCTAAAATGTTCATATCCTTTCTAGACATTGTGCATCTAAGGAAAGACTAGTCTTGTAGGTCTGAGAATAAACAGTGTGGTCCAGTTATGTTAGCTCTAGAATAGATTGTTGGTTATCTCTCTTTCCTTTAAGCTAGCGGTGCACCGATACATTGATCCACTATCGGATTGGTGCCAATATAAAGAAAATTGACTGCATCGGAAATTGGCCCAATGGGGCTAATAATTTGGCCACTAAATGCCAGTGCATGTACACAGCTGCAACACAGCACTGGAGCAGCAAGGAGTGGAGTCTGGCAGCATGGAGAGCTGCCTCCAGCTGGTCAGTCCATTGTGGTGGAAAGGGAGGAGGGAGAGAAGGGATGTGGAGGGGCAGATCAACCCCCCCACCACCCTTCCATCCCCCCCACGGTGAGGGAGGGGGCAGGGGCAGGCGCTGCCCAGCTGGGGCATGGAATGTAGGCACGGCTTGCGGGGGAGGGGCTCCCACTGCTGCTTGCACCCAGGTGGGGGGGCAGGGATGTGGGCCCCTCAGATCTGTACAGTGCGGGCTGAAGCCGGGCTCTTCTTGCTGGGGGCTGGGCTCGGAGCCAGGCCTATAGAGGGGGCTACAGCCAAATTTCGCTGTTGCTCCCTTCCAGCACCGCTACCGCGTGCCCGGCACAGCTCTGGCTTTTCCCAGCACATGGGGGAGACGGGGGTTGAGCTGGGAAGAGCCAGACGCGTGGCTGCACTAGGATGGAGCTCCGGCAAGATTTGGGGTGGCTGCAGCCCCTTCTGTAGCCCCTGCCTCGAGCCCAAGCCCTGGTGAAAAGAGCCTGCCTCCAGCCTGCAGCTGCAGCCCACCCACTCATCCTGCAGAGATCCAGGGGCATGCGTCCCATTCTCTCCCTTCCCCCCCAGGATGCAAGCAACGGTGGGAGCCATGCCACCTCCCCTCCCCCAGCCCCCCAACGAGCTGCGCCTCTGTCCTGCACCCCACGCTGCCCCAGCTGGGCAGCACCTACCCTTGTCCCCTCCCTCACGTCAGGGGGAGATTAATCTGCCCCCCACCCCTTCCACTACAATGGACTTACCAGCTGGAGGCAGCTCTCCACACTATATTGGAAATCAGATTGGTATTAGCCGACTATGCCTCCTTAAAAATCGGATATCTGTATCGGTCCCAAAAATCTCTACTGGTACACCCCCACTTTAAGCAATTCAAAATCTCTTCCCAATTTTCTAGCCCTTGTTGTAGGCTTATTGGAATTCTGTTAGCTGGTCTGTACAAGGTTCATACTGGGCCTTCTCAGTTACCATAGCAGACGTGGGGCATTTGCTCCACTGTACCTGCAATCCTGTATTCAGCCATTATGAGGATATTGGGTGGGATCTTGAGTGATGATGTTAACTGAATGAGTATGGTCCTCAAAAACACGTAGTTTCCCTAACATGGAAAAACTTACTATCAGCATTTCTCTGGTGGTGTAGTGTGCCATGCTACTTGTATTAATAAATTACTCCAAGTTAGTTACCTTCCTTCTGAGGTTCAGGAGTATTTCTTTAATCACAGATGTATGCACTGCAGTGAAAGGGACACACTCTTCATAGAAATTAAGAAAATAGTTATCTGCCATTTGCTTGTTTGGCTGGCCAAATTTGTGCCAGTTGTATGCAGCAAATGAAAAGCCCTAATCTTTGTAGATTTAGGGAAACAGGAATTTAAGGATCTATTTTCTTCAGAGGCTGAGACTGAGGCTCATGTTATGCAATATTCTTTCTTATGTGTCCATAAAATATTTTGGACAATTGAAGAAAGGATGTTTTTCTGCCACATGTTTTTCTTTTTTTCTTCTTTATATAGAGCCATGGAAGTTCTTAAGGGAAAAGGTCAAAGGTCTTTGTCTGTTGCATTATCAATAGCTGACCTGATTGAAAGTATATTGAAAGATAGAAGAAAGGTTCATTCTGTATCCACTCTGGCAAAGGTAAATATGATATTTCTTTTTCCGTTAATTGTCATCATATCCATCATACCTAGCGTGACATTTTAACTTTAGCAGAACAGAGATGTTAGCTTAGTCCAACAATTCTACAGTTGTATCATTTCTATTACTTTCTTCTGACACCAGTTTTTAGCACTAATCAGAATGAACAAGAATCTGCTACTCTTTTGGCTGTAGTTTGAGGACAGGATTGTAAATCGATTTTTTGGGGGGTTTTTTTGGTTTTTTTTTTTTTATTTCCTTTTCCCCCTCCCCCAACACTGGGGTAGTTGAGTGCTGCATCATTCTTGGTACTGGCATCCAGCTTCCTAGTAGTCAAAGCAGTGGTGTAACAAGCGGACTTGATGCCTGGATCACACACTGTGTTGGGTTTGGGGGGCAGGGGTGAGCATTAGAGTTGTGCGAAATTTTGGAAGCCATTTTGTTTTGGAGTTGTTTCGGGCTGCTTTGGTGCCTGAAACACTGAATCTGAATCAAAATGGAAGGCACAGAAACATCTCTGAAACAAAACTAGGCATCTGAAATGTTTCGGAAAATTTCAACATTTCAGAGCCAGGCTTGCAAGGAAACAGCTGTGCATTGCTGCCCTGCAGTGCGACTCAGCTCCACAGGGAGCAGAAATCTGCACCAGGGGTCTCCTCGCTGCCGCTGCCTGTCCCATGCTGTCCCAGTGATGTGGGGCTGCATGGGGAGGGCAGCGGTAGTGAGGAGACCCCCTGCACAGGTCTCTGCTCCCTGTGCAGCAGAGTCATGCGGCAGGGACCAGCAGACTTGCTCACCACTCTGTGCTGCTTCCCTGTCCTGCGACCCAACGTGACGGGGATCAGAGATCCACGTGGGGGTCTCTTTGCCTGCACGGAGGGCAGTGGCCCTCCTCCTCCCCTGGCCGAGCCACCCACAGCTCCTCCTGGCTGGGTAGGGCTATGCAAAGCTTCCCTTGCAGCATGTTCGAAAAAGATTCGGAGGAGATTTGGTAGAGCCGAATCTCTGAAGCGAATTCGGCTGAAATGAAACAGCGACATGAATCACTGTCCTCCAAAACAGCTGAATCCAAAACCAAATCAAAACACAGCTGTTTCTCATAGCTCTAGTGAGCATGTGGTTTCTAAGAGCAGGAGAGGCACAAGTTGCAGGGAAGGTTCTCTAAGAATGGGGGTGGGGGAGAGGAGGCAGGGCTGGTTTTACTTGCACCAGTCCCAGCCGAACAACTGCTGCCACTGCGTGTGCTATACCCATCTGGACTGTTGCTCTTAAAACAGCAGCTGGGGGACTGTTTTGGAGTTCTTTGCATGAGTGAGCTGTGGGGGCATGGCCTTTTCAAGTAGCCTTTTCAAATTTGGCATCAAGGATAGTGCCCCTTTTGGCCACCCCTTGTTATGCAAATGGTTCACAGGCTGTGATATAGTTGGTTTTGGTAAATATCACAGGTAGGTGTGTCTTGGTTTCAAAGTGCTTGATGCTGACTGCAAGTTTTCTAAAGCACCAAACATTTTCAGCTCTCTCTACAGGAATCTGATATAGTCTTTCTTTTAGTACTATATTTGATAAAACTGAGAAATAGTATTGTCTACAGTGTTCTTACTTTCTAGAAACTGTTTAAACAAAATCATGTTAGACTTCAAACTTTATCCTAGACGTATTAACTGAACAATGTTATTTATATTAGGAAGTAAACATTGTGAAGAAATATTTCCCTTTAGTAACCGTTAATTCCTATTTTGAAAATTGGAAATTTCCTTCTAAGGGATGACTGTAAGATTTCAAACAAAATGGAACAAAGGCTGTGATTACTGTTTTATGACCTACAGATGCTTATTAAATTACCTTCTCTTATTATCATATGAAGTTTCTGTTAAATAGCTACTCCTCTGCAGAAATGTCCTAATGATGCCTTTTAACTGGACCCACGTATTGTCTGCACAACCTAAAACTTTACGCATGTGGACACACATTATTTTACCCTAAAAAATGTGAGGCAACTATTTTAATCTTCACTTGAATTTTAGTGATTTTAATTGCAGAATACAAATGTGTATGTTCATATACTAATACATGCTCTATACCCAAAAATTTTGCTGGGATAGCCACATTGGTCAGACAGGGTGTGTGCTTTTAGTTTTGTTCTCCGCATAATCAGTAAAGTTAATGGAGATGCAGTTATACTAGATCTATGGCACCCTGGGGTGCCTTGAGATCCTTTCAGGGGTGCTCTGGGGTGCCATGTAGTCTTAGCATTGTTAGATGTGCAAACGTGATTCACAGAATAAACCTATACAGGGTGCCTGTACATGAGCAGGGAGGCTGCTCCGATGTGCTGTAATTCCAGCTCCTTGGAGCAGACTCAATTAATAGTCTGCTGGAGCATGGCGATTACCACGATCCAGAAATTTTCCTATGTTTCGTGTATCAGTGTATTGTTGGATTCTTTGCAACAAAAAACTTCCTCAGTATTTTCTGTAGATAACCCCTGCCACCCCCTCCCCCCCGCCCCGAGTTAAGTAAGAGCTGTCATTTTTCAAGGGATACCTTGAATCTAAAAAAGGTTGTGAGAACCCTTGTACTAGAGGGGAAAAAATCCTGATAATATAGCTTGCACCATCTGGAGAACTGGTTTAAGCTCTGCTGGCAAAAAGTGTTCTTTTGTTGTGATAAGCTTTGTCTCCACCATTGAGATTTGCTAAGATAAATATGTTGTTTAAATATACAAAAGGCCTAAGAAACCCTAAACACTTAACTGCAATAAGGCACAGATCTTGCATAGCATAAATTACTATATGTTATTCTAAATAAATAAAATTTAAGCTATGCTTATCTGCTAAACAAAGAACATCTTGCTTAGTTGAATTTTAACTATCTTAATTCACCTAATTCCATAGGGCATAGAATTAGAAGAGGTTTCTAAAGATGCACAGTATTCAAAAACAGCTGCATTAACAGTCCTTTACTGTTTGCACAATTCCAGGGGTGCTGCAATATAAACAGTGAAGTATTTTTAAGTATGCCTTGTATTCTTGGAACCAATGGTGTGATTGAAATGATCACGCCAGAGAAAGAGGAGCTGGTGGCAGCGAAACTACAAAACAGTGCCTCATCAATTCATGACCTTCAGCAGCAATTGAAACTTTAAACATGATGAAGTCCTGACATCTGCTTATGACAGCGTTGGATTTGCTAAGGAGAAAGGGTTGCTGTTAAATCTTTGTAAACAGTACAGTTGTCTGATTTCCTTTCACAAGTTCGTCATTCCTACAAAGCTCTTTTTAATCTCTTTAACACAGCACACCACAACCATAAATTAAGAATTTCTATTATGTGTGTTTTCTTAATCAAAATGAAGGTAATATACAAAAACGTCTCATCAAAACCTAAGCAATTTTGCCTGCCTTCTTCATCATTAACTTAAGAATCAGGCCTGCATGGTGCATAAATTCATTGGGGGATGGGGCGGTGACATCAACTTAACCAGCTGCTTGGGTATTCTTTCAGTATATGTGGAGAGCCACCCTCTGCTAACTTTCAGTGTGCAGAGACTGACCAACACCATCTCACACCAGCTTTTCACTGCAGGAAGTAATTGACCGACAGGCACAATAAAGCCTGCTTATAAGCAGACACAGTGAAGGTTAATGCACTTTATCGTCTTTTATGTAACCAAATTCCATTCCATCACATGGCTATAAAAATATATATTTTTAATAATACCTCCAAACTTGAACTTCTGGACATTGCATATGAATGTAGGTTTTTTTTGTTCATCTAATTGTGCCTGAAACTTTCCCCTAGAAGGTACTATTGTTGTTTTGTAGCGTGTAGCATTAAAGTATCTGAAAGATTAGAACTACCTTTTTAAACTCACAGCAGGCACTCCAAAAGATGTAGCATTAGTTCAAATACTCTTTGGAGTGTAGAGATGTTTGTGACAGGGTAATAATGAATCATATTATCTGACTATGAAGTCACTGAGCTTTAGATAAGGCATCTAAGGAATAAGATGTATGGGGCAGGAAGCTAATTCTGCGTAGGGAGACACCTATAAACAAAAGTGGTTGAGGTTTCGTATAAAAGGATGTTCTGATTTTAAAATAAACCATTTGGGACAGATGACTTTTCTCTTATTAAACCAGATACCCTTCTAAAAGAAAGACCTTTATATTAAAGTATTAATGATACCAAGCATAAGGGAGAAATGTGGGCTTTGCTCTTGCTTTTAGGACGTAAGAATTGGACTCAACACTTCAAGTGTTGAAACAGGGATGAAATTTTGTCAGCAAAGATGCAATGTATGAATGCTTTAAGTGAAGCTCTACTGGCTTGTTCCTTGCAAAGATGCTGTCTTGCAATGGCTGAGTACCCTCAGCTTCCATTTGAAAGTCATTTTGTACAACTGATGTGAGTTGTTTCTGTTGATCCCTGAGCAGGATTGAGCCCTTTCTTTGGTCTTAGTGGGAGATGTGGTATGCTGAGAGTTCTCAGAATTGTAAGCAAAAAAGAAAACAACCATTTTTCTCAGTTTCATAGTTTATGAGAATTCTGTTTATTTTGATCAATGCTATATCTCAAGCTGGTTGTCATATAAACTTAGCTGGTTTATCTGGTTGTAAAAAAATAGCTGGACTATTTTCACTTTTGAAAAATCTTAAGTGAGTAATAATTGAATTTTTCTTAGGGTATTTTGCATTGCAATATGTTGTAGAGGGTTTTGTGGCTGGAGTGATGCACTACATTTAATATTGTAGCATATTTTATTAAACATTGCAGTAGTTTTTTATTTTTGGGTTGGTTTTTTTTAAGATAACAGTACATGTATCATAACATTTATTAGTAAACTCCCCCAGTTATTTTAAAATACCATTCTTTAGTCCCAATGGAGTTTTTATTTAAAAATGACCAAAGTATCACAGCTTTAAAAATGGCATTTGTTTCTCAGACGAAGAATAGTTTCGAAATGCCTTTTTTTTTTTAAGATGAAAGGTTACCTGTTCTTCAGAAACGCTACGTAAAGTTTATCTTAAATGCACATAGTATTGCTAAAGTGGCATGTTCTGTTTGGTCGTCTGCAAACCGCTGCCTAAGGATTGGTGTATTGCTGTAAAATTCTAATGTTGATATTTCTGTTCATGTAGATAGTCGTGCAATTCATATGTTCAACTGCTTTCCCCAATACGGTTTTTAAATCATGGTTTATATATCTTGTTCTCCAAGTCTAACAATTATTTTTGTGGTTTTAAATAAAATGGTTATGAAAAGGGGAGTCCTTCTTGGAAAAGTGACTCAAAAGTGTAATAGACCTGCCTACAGGAAAACTAATTCAAGTGGGTGCACTGAGTATTCTCAATTAAAACCAGCATGTGGTGGACTAAGGTGACAGTATTCTTCTGGAAGGTATTATTTGTGCATGTTAATAATCCTAAATCAGCAGAACATGTGATTTGTACTTCGGTTCTTTAACTTTGTGGTTAATGATCATGTCTGGCTGCTTACATTGTACATGGAACACTTGCAAGAAATAATGTTCAGCAGAGTGCTGACCAATAGCAATAAAGGATATGTGTACTGCTGTTTTTTTTGGTTTAATTCATCATCTTGTATACTAGGCTGCTGCTTCAACTGGGGGTATCAATTTTGGAATGACTTGTTGGGTTGGAAGAGACCTCAGGAGGTCATCTAGTCCAACTCCCTCCTCAAAGTAGCACCATCCCCAAGTAGATCATTCCAGCCAGGGCTTTGTCAAGCCAGGCATTAAACTCCAAGGATGGAGAGTCCTTCACCTCTGTAGGTAACCTGTTCCAGTGCTTCATCACCTTCCTAGTGAGAGTTTTTCCTAATAGCCTACTTAAACCTCCCTTGCTGCAACTTGAGACTATTGTTCCTTGTTCTGTCATCACTGAGAACAGTCTAACTTGGGGGTAGGCAACATTTTTGGCCAGGGTGCCAAAAAAAACTGCAATGTCTACCTTGTAAAGAGCAGCCTGGGTTCCGTGGCTGGCAGCAACTGGCCAGAGCCCAGCCCCGTGGTAGTGAGCTGAGCAAAACAGCTCTGCAACACATGCTGTGGGTTGCCCAGCCCTGGTTTAGCTCCATCCTTTTTGGACCCCCCCCCCCTTCAGATAGTTGAAGGCTACTGTTAACCACTCAGTCGTCTCGTCTACAGCCTAAATAAGGCCAATTCCCTCAGCCTTGCCTCACAACCCATGTGCCCTAGCCTTGGGAACCTTTTTTCTTGCCCTCTGCTAGATTCTCTCCAACTTGTCCACATCCTTTCTGTAGTGGGGGGGAGTAAACTGCATAGAGCACTCCAGATGTGTGCCCCCACCAACCCTGCTCCCTCCCCCTCCCCAGGGCAGAGTAGAGGGAAACATCAGGAGCAGGGGCTGCTCTGCCCATTTGGCAGTGCTGTGTAATAGGGCCATTTTGAAGACCATGAGCTGGCCTTATTTTCAGAGGTAGGAAGATGTAATGGGGTACTAGGGGGAGGGTGCATTCCCCTCCTATGCAGCACTCCTGCAGCCAAGACCAAACTGCCTGCACCTGGGGCCATGTTTTAAAAAAGCAGGTAGCAGCAGTAAAATGCTAACAGCTGAAACCCTGCTGTCTCTCTGCCTGAGCTGCCCCCTAAAACTCTTTGGGCCTTTCTCCAGGGAGGCGGGGCCTCATTGCCCCCATTTTACAGCTGGGAAGACTGAGGCCCAGCTCCACAGCTTCCAATCGCTCTCCCCCCTCCCCTGAGGTCACACGGGGGCGAGGCTACTTATTAGAGCAGCACCTCAATCATTGGCCGCAGAGGCACGTGACCATCCACCCCACCGACTGGGCTGGTGGAGCCCCCTCCCGAACCCGCCATCACATGATGAGGTGACGCGCAGGCGCGGCGGAAGTGGGGCCGACGGAAGCGCCGCCAGCTTCCGGTGTCGGTGGGGGGCCAGGAGGGGGAGGACGGAAGAGCGAGTGATCGAGCTAGGCCGCGGGTTTCTCCGCGCGGGTGCGCTAGTGGCGGGGCTGCCATGGCGCTGTCCGAGAGCCAGCTGAAGAAGATGCTCGGCAAGGTACGGCGCGCCGCTGGCCTCCGCGCCCGGCGCGAGGCTTTGCCGTAGCAACCAGCCGGGGTGGGGGCTGCGCCCGCTGGAGCCGCCAGCCCAGCGTTCGGGGGGCGCGGAGCAGCCGCTCTGGGAGCCGAGGGGCTCAGCAGGGCCGGCCCCCTTCCTCGTGTTGCTCTGGGACGGTGGTGCACAGGAGAGGGAGGGGAAGGACAGATTGCGCTGTGAATTTGGAGACCTCCCAGGCTCCAAACAGGTCTGTCTGAGCATAAACCTAACACAGGGTTAGTGCCCATGGACGGGGGGCTATTGGGTATATTAGCTGGCTTTGGGGGACTGCTGCAGGAAACCCTGATGGGAGTGAGGTCATGGGTTCAAAGCAAGTGCGCCAAGTAGGGACGCTGAGCACAGTGTGCTGGGGAGTGCTTGGTGGTGCTCGAGTGAGTCCAAGGAGCCAGCAAGCACTGCCCAGGGAAGCATTGCCTGGAGATGTGAACAGAGAAGGTTCAGGAAAACATGCCCCGGCCTAGTGAGCTAAAAACAGGTTGGATTCAGATGGAGCCACCTGCCCCCACCCGCTGGATTCAGCTTGGAGTGACCACCATGCAGTAAATGTAGACTTACGGCTAGAAACAGGCAACCAGATGCATTCCAGTTTGAGCTTTGCTTTGCAGCAAACCCCAGTACTTAGAGAGGAGCCTGTTGTCCCACGCAAAATGCCTGAGAAGTATGCAAGTTAATACTTTGCTTCTGAACGGTCACAACTTAATTGCCATTTCAGCCTTCTGGTATAAACAGTGTCTCATTTGTTTTGATGCAGGTTATATCTCAGGCTGGCCCGTATCAGATTAAACTGAGTTTCTGTTTTTAGCCACAGGTACTTAGGGAGATAGTGGGTTTATCCCATCTGTAAGGTCCAAGGGGCTTGCTTCGAGGAAAAGTTCTGACATCTGGCTCAAATATGAATCAAACCAGTCTTCTGTTTTTTAGTGTAGGAGTCTATTACTGACTCCTAGGCCACATCCAGACAAGCACAGGCATTTGGTTTCCCAGGGACAAGAAGCAGCATCACACTGGTGTGCTGGTCCCCAGGGGGTGCCTGTGCCATGTGCCCTCCGCACATGGTGGGTTACCCCAGGTGGGGTAGAGAAGGCTGCGGCCAGCAACCTTACCTGGGGGCTGGGGAAGCTGCAGCCACAGTGCTCCTGCAGCATGACTCTGGCAGGCCAGGCTCTGGTTTTGGATGGCGCACAGTGCAGCCACGTGCACTGCCTCACTTTTTTCCCCACGCAGCAGATCCTGGGGTCAGTAAAAACCGTCATGCTGCAAGGTAGCAGTGTGGGAAACACCTTAATGGACGGTGTGTATGGTGTTATACATGGCTGTGCTCATCTGGACATAGCCCTAGTGACTAAAGGTCCTCAGCAGGGACCAGTTTCTTCCCGTGTCCAGTAATTGCAGACACAGGGTAAAGGCAGGTCTTCCTTTCTCCCCTCATACTTTAAGAAACCCTGTTTTAAAATCAGGCACTGAGCAAGCTAACCCAGGGCTGGGTGAGGTTGACTCCCCTGTCTTAGAGTAGCTACTGTCATGGATTTTTAGGAAGATGTAATAATATCTTTCCTTGTGACAATTTATTACTTATTGTCAATTGACCTGACAGACAAAAGCTCAAACTTTGAGATTTGTTTTCCCAGGTTAATTGCACTGCGCATACTAGTATTACCAGTCATGCAGGGAATTGATTGGGTCCTTCAGTTAGCCTTAAAGAAGACCTGCTTAAGAATACGTGTATGTGGCATAGTGTGCTGCTTGGCAGGGACACTTTAGTAAGCCTGGGTCAAGCTCTGTGGTCACTGTACTTGGCTGAGTGCTTTGCTAATCCAATGGTACTTGTAGTTGTACCCAGACTAGTTAGGATGGCATTGCATCTTGTAGTCTGCAGTCTTAAGAGTCTGCAAGATAAAGTTCTCGATCCTGCTCCAGAACCTGAGGACCAGTGTCGAAGTTTAGCAGAGCCAGTCTTCTGTGCAACCTAGGCACTGCCATATTAGAAAGTTGAACTGTGTTGTAATAATGAAAGGGTTTTTCATGTTAGGTGTATGCTATGCATGACTTGTTTACTTTTCAGAGAGATCAGGCCAGGAATTTATCATTGCCATTTATGTCTTAGGTATACGCAGGGGTCTACTCAATTCATGATTTTGCGGAAACCACACAATCCAGGATTGTCTGCAAAATCAACTTTAAATAAAACACTTAAAAATGAAATGCTGGCCTCCCCAGTGGTAGCTGGCAGTCAATGCTGCCTAGCCCCAGCCTTGCTAATCACCCCAGGGGGAGAAGGCACTGGCTGGCAGGGCAGCACAAAAGGGCAGCAGACAAGATGGTGGCTGCCCCTTGATCCTTTCTTCCCCACCTCCAGGGCCTCTCCACCAATTAGTGCCGCGGGGCAGGGCTACACAAAGGGCAGACAGCAGATAAGATGGCACTCCCTGCCAGGGCCTCTCTACCAATAGTGCTGAGGGGTGGGGCCAACTGATCACATCCAGGAAATATCCATGAAATGTGCTCTTCATGCTGTGTTGACCAATCCATGCAAATTATTTAGTCTCACTGCAGTGTAAGTATATCCCTAGGTAGATGAGCATCTACAATCAGTGGCATTAAATATGCTAGGGGTGCAACCTGGAAGTTGTAGTGGGGAGGGGCATGGGACATCTGTAAATAATGT